TGTTATGTTATGCATTTTGAAGTTCTTGAATAAGACGGCCGAAGGCACCCACAAATTGCCAATTTTCAAAAGCCTAGATGCTGTTAGAGATTGAATTTCCGACGCACATCCATCAGTGGCAGAAGATTTATTCGCATTTACAGGAAAACCTGGTTGGTGTGTGCCTCAAGCTGTAAGGGACTTTCGAATTACGATTCTCAGTTTAACGTTTGACTGTTAGAGTGACTCGAATACTCGGTAGAGTAGCGCTTAGATTTTATTAGGGCCATTCCTTCCTTCTTTTGGGGAGCGTTAAGCCCTCCAAGACTACGTTCACATAGAGCTGCCAAGTTGTTCCATCTAATAATCCCCCCAAAAACAAATGAAAACATCTCACGTCTCTCACATCATATCTGTCCAAAATAATGTCGGGATAGAGAGAACACACATTGTCCGGGGATCGAACCCTGAACTGATAGGTGCCCCGACCAACCGAGCCTTATATTCATCCGTCGTCATTTAATAGATACTAGATACGTCTGGCAGGACGAGAGCGCTGATCCCACATCGGATATCTACTGCAGCTCAAATAATAGGCCAAACACTCATTCGACCTTACGATTATGAATGGAAATCTAATGCGAGGCGCACCCCATAGAGAAGGACTGGTTTCGGTTCTGAGCAGATTTGCCAGTTACAGTGGATTAGAAGCCTTATTCTTATTCTCAAAAGAAGGATAGCAACCTAAACTTCTCAAGAGTAGGGACAAAAATTGAGTCGCTTTTTTCCCCAGACCGAGAATTCCCCAGACCTTATAAAGCTTCGCTCTAGAAGATTGAAAAATCTCATTATATGCTGACACAACGTTATGCTTCTTTAAGCTTAACAGCAGACAATAACAACAACGACAACAACACAACAACAGCGACAACAACATGCAGTGGAAATGAGGAAATGAGGAACAGTGGTAAGGAAGACTAGGTAGAGGCTGAGGTCGAGCTCAAGTGGTAGACTGACGCTTGAAAACTTGCTTGTAGAGGTATTTATCGGACCGAGTGCGCTGAGTCAGCGGTCAGCCTTTGCGGCAAAAAAACTTTCTTGAGAAATCGTGGGCATCAAAAACGATCCAATCCGGTGTGAGTCATAACTAATGTGCATGCCGTCAATAGCGGGTATTACTCATCTGAAAAACTCTTGAAAAAGTTACCATGCTTACTTATTATAGGGCTGGTTCCGCAGCAGTGTTGGAGCTGTAAATTATTCAAGACTCAACGTCGGACCTTGGAGAAAATAATTAAAATACCTGATTCACTTTCACGGAAGCACTCATCTTTTTTACAGGGGCAGGTCATCAAGAAAATGAAGAAACAAGACCAAAATACGGTGAGTTAAAAGAAGAAGACCATCTCAGAAAGAAGACAGAAAACCAGTATGACAAGGGGTCTTCTGAATTCATATGAGAGCCCAAAATGAGAAGTGTTTGTCACCGCAATGACGACTGGCGATGGTTACTCGATTGGGACATCATGGCACTCACTCGAAACACAACATAACAAAAAAACATACATATACACACATTTACCTAGAGACCCACACGTGTAGATAAAAGAGCTCACCCAAATGTGTAAACATATACAAAATGTATATGTACAGGGTGCGCCATAAATATGGTAACAAAAGAGTTGGGCTACAAAAACCGCAGTTCATATTGATACATGGTGAATTCATGTGAGTTATTTACTATGCATCACATCTACAAAATGAACACATGGTCATCTTATATGGCCGTTTCCTGTACTAATTACAGTTCAAAGATGCTGCGGCTAATCATCGACGGCGGCACGTAGAGTTTCTTAAGAAACTCCAGCCTGGGATTTTTTCAATGGTTTCTTATGAGCAGCAACAGTGGTGCATTTTGAAGCGCAGGCTTTCCTCTCCAGTATGGACTAATTCCAGCAACCCATCACATCGTTGTCCGGAAAATTCATAGCAGGTTTGGAAGCTGGGATAAAGTCGCGAACATTCCCTCAGCACCAGTCTTACCTTTTCCCATTCGTCAGCACGTGCGCCGTAGTTTTCGAATCGTATCCCTGAAAATCTTCGGCCCGTCAGCTGTATCTTTTCAGAAGGACTCTTCTTAAGACGTTTTAGATTAACTTTTGTACTTCTTTCGACCAAAAAGTGCGATATCGCTCTGACTGTTTCTAGTTTCTAGCAAACTAAATNAGGGCTTTGTCAAAGATATCTAGAGTATCTCCGCAGCAGTGTTGGAGCTGTAAATTATTCAAGATTCAATGTCGGACCTTTGAGAAATAATTAAAATACCTGTTTTACTTTCACGGGAGCACTCATCTTTTTTACAGGGGCAGGTCATCAAGAAAATGAAGAAACAAGACCAAAATACGGTGAGTTAAAAGAAGAAGACCATCTCAGAAAGAAGACAGAAAACCAGTATGACAAGGGGTCTTCTGAATTCATATGAGAGCCCAAAATGAGAAGTGTTTGTCACCGCAATGACGATTGGCGATGGTAACTCGATTGGGACATCATGGCACTAACTCGGCACAGCACATAACAAAAACACACACACACGCACATTTGCCTAGAGACACGCACATATAGATAAAAGAGCTCACCCAAATGTATACACATATACAAAACGATGTATAGGGTGCGCCATAAATATGGTAACAAAAGAGTTGGGCTNTTTCACGAAATTTCTAGACAATTTCTGTTCTGCGGTCAGGAGCTTCATCGTGACAATATATCGGGTTCGAATCATCAAAGTGTCCTATTGCGCACGAAGAGAACAAACAGGCCTCCAAACCAATTTCCACTCCATAATTTACAAAAATAATCGGTGTCTTTGCCCCGGCGGTGATGCTGGTACACGCCATCACAGAAAGTTAGTGAGCCAGGCGCTGTATCACTTTCATTTCTTTAAGCTTCAGATAAATGTTATCGCTCTACTTATTGAGCACCTATTTCACTGTGAATCTTTTCTCGTCGGTGAACAGGAATTCCGTAGGACAATTTTTTCGGATGCGACAGGCAGCTTTTGTTAGCCAACCTTTCTCTTCTCTTTAACCTGCTCTCTGGGGAAATCACTTTCCGACCGTATAGGGATCTCGTTGTGCAGGTGATGCTTCACGATTTCACGCAGAAAATTTCTTGACATATCCATTCATTTAGCCTTTTTGCACTCAGAATGAATTTTGCTCCTACGTAGACCTTTGCCCTGTTTCCTTAACACTTCCCCTAAATATAACCACAGCTCTCCTAGGTTCACCACTCCTATCTGCAATTGTTCCCAACCCTCGAGAGCGTCTTATGGTTGAATGCAATACCTGCCTTGTTTCGCTAGTTCGTCTGTAGATGCACCGTGCCAAGTGTTTGTAAATGCAAAGCGACGCTTAATTCACGGACTAGTTACACTTATATTATGTTAAAAATCTACCCAAAGCTTAGTATCATCAGGAAGGTAATAACGTAAGCTACTTTGTGAAATAGAAGAAATTCAATGAATTGTTATGAACATAGAAAAAATTTGCAATGAACGTCAGCGCGCGCTGTAATCATAATTTTGGCCCACCCTGTACATGCGTACATATGTGTATACCAGATGTGGTACGCAACGCTTTGAAAAGTGTTATACAATCTTTACCTGATCTCCACCCTCCAGGCATTACAGGCCTTCATCAAATGGAATGACAAATTTGTATAAAGTACGGCCCACCTTGACGACGCTTAGTCCGCCATGGGTGTTGTTCGTCAGTCGCATCAGCTGTTACAGGAACAAGCAGTACCTGCACTTGGCTCTACACTTCATACTTTAATGCGCAACTTCTCACCCGTCACATATACGACGCTTCGAAAAGGCGCCTAGGGCATAGCAGCTTGTTTACAGCTGAATCTTGATCGGTACGCAGGACGAGTAGTCCCCCGGTCGCTCGCTCGCTCGCTCGATCGGTCGGTCGCTCGCGGGTCGGCCGGCGGACTATGAAAGCAGCCAGTGGGTGATGGGGAAGCTGCGGGATTGCTGTTAAGGCCGAGTACCCGTACTAGATTTTCGATTCTGTTCAGTAATTGACCGCCTCCCCACGGTTCCTTATATAACACAGAATTTCGTGACAGACAGTCAGAAGATGTGAGCGCGTTATATATTAGGTTGAGTTACAAGTCTTCGGACAATGTGATAGTGATGACTTCTAGAGATCATAACTTGGGAAAGAGGTGACGGAAATGGACGCGCGAGGCATCGCTAGATAGAGTATAAAAAGCTTCTCCTGATACATACTAACGAGTACATCTGACCGTCTCCTGCGCTTCAGCGTGGGGAGAGAAAGTGCCATGTCGGCGCTACAGTCCATATCATCCTGCTTCAAAGCACGAGGCACCCACCCATCGACCGAGCTTTCGCACCTTGCCGATTGACTTCAATCCACAAATAACTGTGGAGTGTTTCTCCAAGAGTGAAAGCCAGGTCACGAGTAGTTTGATACGGATCGGCTTCCAACTGGCTTCGCAACACGTCCAAATCCACCTCCATTGAGTGTCCCGGACGGTCTTCATCTTCGATGGAATAGTCGTCCGACGTGAACTTCTAGTGCCACTTGTAAATTGTGCATCTAGCGGAGCAACCGTCTTTCAAACTTCCATCACACGTCTATCGATCTCCGCGGTTCCTGGCCAGGTAAAAAAAGAAATAGTATGAAGTTGCGGAGGTGAAGTCCCGACGGCTTGAAATCATGGGGCATGGTTGAGGGAAGGAAACAATTAGGTGTGTTCGTTAGTATGTATTTGGAAGAGCTTTTCATACTCTATCTAACGATTCCGCGCCCGTCTAATTTCGTCACTTCTTTCCCGAGTTATGATCACTAGAAGTCATCCCTATCACTTTGTCCGATGACTCAACCTAATATATAAAGATATGGACGGACGGTGTCAGACACATGGTTAGATCAGTTCTCCTGTCGAAAATCCCGTTCATGTAGTTTCATTCAGTATGAGGGGAAACACAATTACCATATGAAGTCGTTTGCAATAGCCATCTCAGTGCTTTGACCAGCTTGATCAGGTCCAGTAGAACCGCCATGATCATTCAAGCTACTAATCATCTTGCATCCTATTCTGCATGATGCAACTGCCTGAACGGTGCGCAATTTGAATTCGACGAAATTGAGTAGAACAGTCTCAGTAATGCAAAAGCACGCCGGGGATCGTCAAAAACCTTATAGTGGTCGATCTTGAAATCCTGACCGATGTTAATGCTCGTGACATCAAGTTTTTATGTGAATTCCAACAATTTGGTTGATATTTTTCAGAACCTTGATGCTGCAAGCCTCTACGCCATTTTCTGCTGGATGAAATTATGATGAAGTGATTTCGATAGTCTCGCTAATGAGCTTTATGTTAGAAATGAGTGTGCTTTTAAGCTCCAAGACTTCAAAACTGTTCAGCGAACGTTCTGTTCTGTTTCTTGAGGCAACCAACGCAAGTGGACACCTTTTACTAACTACACCATACTACTTCCTTTAGATTACGGCGAAAAACGAGAACAATTTCCTTCTTGCTGAATTGTTTAGGAAGGATCAATGCACATCATCACCCAAAACACTGTATTTAAAATTAGCAACATAGATTATTATTAACGATTCACAACGATACACCCAGAACAACAACTCAAGAACACTTTTATGGCAAGTATACACTCCAATTTTCCAACATTGGTATTCTAAACTAACCGTTAAATACTTGTCAGCTGCTGTTGCAGTTGTAACGGATAGAATGTTCAGTCCCTTTACAGAATTGTACAATCCAACATAAAGTTATTAAGCAACCCTAGACATAATAAATAGTAATCTTTATTTATCTCCAACAAAAAAGCATGCATGTTGCTAGCGAGAAAAAAAAAAGAAAAAATTAGAAATACCAGATCGAGCTCTTCTGCGTTTGACGTGAATGCTCAGCACAATGACCCTGGAAAATGAGTAAAGTCATTATCCAGCTTTTGAACCTTCCAGCCTAGCCTCAAAAACTACAATCAGTGCGTTATGAAGGGACTGCACAAGTTTACGCTACAACTAACCGTGATGTAAAAATCTTGCTTCTCAATTATTATAGCACAATTTAGCAAATGCTACTTATTTCACTATGAAACTAACTTCAGAATTCGAAATCCATGGTAGTAATGGAGAAATACAGAATTCTCGATTGCAACGGACCTCGACGTGGAATTAGAGAGGAATAAGAAGGCAACCGTTATCACACTGCTTTCCGAAGAAAGTAAATGGACTAACCTCTTAGGAACTAACCTTGACAAACAAAGAGATGATAGTGAAATACCGGAACCAAATGAAGAGCCCGAAGATGTCAATGACGCTTAATAAATTCTTGTTAGCAAGTTGAAAATGAGTCAACGAAATGAACATCATGCTGCCATTACAGAAATCTTAGGATAGCATTCTTCATTGTAATGCTGATCGTACATAAACAGCACACCAATGTGCATGGATAAAGGGATTAGACTAGGTTATCAGAAAGGCCGAATAAAAGGAAAATGACTAACCCTGCGGTCACGTGACCGACTCCTATCGCGGCGATCCCGTCGATCCGATCCTCGCCGGTCATCAGAACGGCGATCTCTCCCATCTCGACTTCTCGAACGGCGAGAGCTAAAGATTGTGTAGACGTAAGTATATTGTGAATATTTTTGATATTTTCCTTACCTTTTCCTGTCTCTGTCTCTGCTACGGTCCCTACGACTGTCACGTTCCTTGCGATCTCTATCCCGTTCACGATCTCTGTCGCGATCATCATGCTTTCTCTCCGTCTTGTCATCTCTGTCCTTTCCTTTTTCTCTCTCTAGTTGGAGCCTCTTTTCCTCTTTGTTCTTCGCCATAAGATCGATTTGTTCCTTGATCCTTGTGTAGGCTATGTGCAGCTTTCCACTAAGGTGATCATCAATGCGACTTTGAGCATCGTTCGTGAGCATGAAACACCCACACACCTGAAAATGCGAGCAATGATAGCTGCAAAAAATGCACGAATTTTTATTGTCCTCATTGATCCGGAACTATAATTTCTCTTGGAAGCAGTCGGGGCAGATAAAGCTCTCCTACTGCAGAATTTCTATCGCGCTCATAACACCTATTCAGGGGGTTTCAAACAACATACCACAATGTCAAATTCATAATCTAAATGAACTTGAGAGCATAGTTCAATGATATCTGTCAAACAAAAAAAAAACTAATTGATACGGCCCAACAGGCATACATAACAAGAACGAGATCGCAATTAAGAGTCCATTCCGCCGTTTGAATAGGTAAAGCCAAGGTTTTTTGCGAAATTTCAGCCAGGACCACAACAGTGTTGGATTGATCGAAAATAACATTTCCTAACAGCAGTGTATGGCTAGGGGCCCTGTTCTAAGTCAGTAAAAGCAAAAAAAAGGGACACACACTACAGAATTACTAGCACGCAACAAGTTTTCAATCTACACTTGACCTAAAATGATATAATCCAATACCTTCTCAATGGGTAAATAAAAAAACATAGCCTCTTTGAGCAGTTGATATACACCGAAAAGGCAAAAATAAGAGAATCCTATCCAGTTAAAAATGACATTTTGCAAAAGTAACCCACGCGCGCCAAGCGATCATGAGCTATGGGTTACATTCGTTTGATACAAAGAATTGGCCCTATTCTAAAATACTTATGGACAACGACGCATTTCAGAAGTATGTTCCCTCAGAACTCATTGCAATCCATATAGTTCCCAGCAGAAAGCGGTTTTGAAAATCTTTATAAAACAGCTTGAAGCACTCAAACAGTTTCAAATTTGATTATTTTGCAGTTGTTGGAAGAAATCAATGGGGGACAAAATTGCATGAAAAATAAAAGAACTTTTACTGAATACCTCACCTGGCATACTTGCATTTGCTTATTTCCCGCCGTTAATTGTTCTTCCATAACAATTGCCCGCTGTCTTTCAATCTCCAAATTCTCCTCTTCCTTCTGCAGAGCATCACGTTCTTTCTGAAATGAAATGTAGTACAATGTTAGCTGCAATGAATGACATGAGAAAGTTCTTATACTACAATAGATGACTTACGGTCAGCTCGTCTGCCTTTTGGACAGCGGTTTGCGCAGCAGCGACATTTCCTTGTGCGCCCTCAATCTAGAAACATGTCTTCATTATACAGTAGGTGAGCATATAGGCACTTATAACATAGCGGAAAAGGAGATAATTTCGAATTCAATCCTTAGCATTGGGCCTCGAATAAAAGCCCCGGCCTCGAGTATAATACATATTAGAGTCAATGAACTACATCGGAATCGCTAGAGCGCCAAATGGAAAAGCTACTCACGTCTGATTGACAATATTGACGACCATGACAAGAACATAGACTATTCAAACCCCAGCGTAACGAGTATAAACGTTTATATTACATATAACGGAGACGACTTTTTGGGATGGTAAGCAACCCGTAAGACCGCATTCTTCGCAGATATCAGCAACTTCGACTCTTGAAAGCATTCTTAAGGCGTTCAATGCACAAAAAGATCATGATCTCCCATGTCAAGAAGTACCTGCAAGGGACTACTCGTATTTAGGCACACCCATATTGACTATTTGTTTTTTAAACAGCTCCGTATGTACTAGCTTGGTGCAAAGCTCAAGTTCCCACTTTGCAAGTGTAATGGGCGGGCATTTTATAGGCTCCTAGCGCGGGCGCGGATGCGACATAAAATATACTGGCTGTGTAATCGCAGAGCGGAAGTCATGCAGCGCGATCGTTGCTCATCGTATGTGACGTGCCACCTTCGAATCTATGATTGCTTCTCATTAATACGATGACTCTTTTTCCGTACAATCTGCTTCGTAATGAAGAAGAAGCCTTGTTCCTGCCATCCTCGTATCATATAAGCACATAGGGAGCAGAAAGTACAAATTAACACAGTCTCCTTCTACCNTGGAAGAACGTCACCTCAGCCTCCTCCATAAGACCTTCGATGCGCCTGCCGAGTATTTCGCGCTTCTCGATCAAATTTTGTTTTTTCTTATCGTAAACTTCACTTGAAACATGAGTGTCAGCTGAAAAAGTAGTACATTGAGTTATCTCAATCAAAGTTGCTTTGTACTCAGAAAATCTGTCATTTCTCAATCCCACCTCTCGTGTGAACTAATCGAGCTTCATTCTTCTCAATTTTTCTTCTTACTTCATTGTGCAAACGATTAAGCTGAAAACCATACGTTAGAGGAAATAAATCCCATGAAAGAATAATAAATATCAGACTGATGAAGAAATGCTCGCAAGTTACTCGACTGTGCATTTTACTATTCGTTATTTTGAGAAAGAAAATGAGGAAGATCAAAAGAGTTGATATACAAAAATCAGAAAAAAAAAACATATTAGAGAGAGCAAAAGAGCAGGTTCACTTTATTCACTGCTCTCTGGTAAACCAACCCTTTCAAAATATTTCTCTTCGTAACCGAGACGACCAAAACGGTTGCTTTCCTGATAGCGTTTCTTCAAAGCTTCGTCATGTATAGGCTGAAAGCAAGAACAACATTTAACCTCAGCATTGAATATGAAATCACGCCGTAATATAGCTGATAGTCGAAAAGATTCTCACATATTGACAAAATCCCAGGTCGTTTTTTGTGTTCCGAAACGCTTCTGCAAGACAGAAACCAACGAGGAAGTCTCTGCATACGTCAGGGTGATCAAAGTCAATAGCAGCGCCCTGAAAAATGCTCTATTTTGAGAGAATCGAAAACATCAAAGTCTGAAAATGGCTTGAATGAAACAATAAAGATTGTCAGGAATAGTATGTATAAGGTAGCCTTAAGATATATGAGTTCTACTAAGAGCACGCAGCTGAAAAACCCTTCTATACCTATTCTTTCCTCTTTTTTTCGGTTTTCAGGTGCAATCTCAAACCTCTTGCTAAATTGATTCCCTGCAGTCGCATAGCACACCAAAAGTAGTTAGAGTTTGAACAAATTTCACTTTGCTCTGAGCCATGAAATTAAATGAGCGCTTAGCAGTCTAAATCACTTTTGCAAGTGCCCTTTTTTGAGAATATGAGTATGAGTTAGGACCCGCGTGGAAGAAAAATTAGTTGTGCGTCATGCAAGATGGGCAAAAGTGGCAGAAGCAAACTAAAAAACCTACGAAGCTAAGAAGTGGTAAAATCATGAGATGGCAGCAATGTTGCAAATCGCTTTTAGTGGAAAATGAGCCTTTTTATATCAACCAATACAAAAATAAATTATTGTTGCACAAGAACTGGAAGAGCGCGTTTAAAGCAGGCCAGCGTTACCTTTCTACAACTTTTTCTGAGGTTGGTGGTTTACAACGAGGCAAAGTTTGCAAGAAAAATGCACGGCAATCTTATGCAATGGCGCCAAAACTGTCCCAACATAATGCAAGACCACGCACTTCAGCCGTTAAAAACTGCCGAAGCTGAACATTGAACACTATCCTTGAACCCTATCCTGGAACCCTATTTCTCCAACCTCTCCTATTCGAACATGCGCTCGGGCTGAATACTCGCCTACGCCAGCACTCATACTGAAGGGGAGGGGGGGGACAGGTTCGAGTCTCGTTCGAAACTAAACACTTTGACCGAAGGTCGCGAACAGGCGAGGTGTTTCATTCCCAATTCTTCCCAAGTACAAAATGCGGCTTCAAATAGTAATTTTTTCGTACAGAAATTCACTTGTCTCTTGGTGTCGGTTATGATCAATTTTAACAGACCAAAGGCATTACCACAACGAGCAGCATTTTTAACGATTACAAATGACCTATTTGAGAAGTCATGCTCGAATAAACAGTTCACTTCAAGGTGTATACGAAATTTTGATCGACATCTGACTGCAACTTTTTTAACAAATAATGTTTCGAATGAAAAAAGAAAACTTCAATCAGAACTCACCTCCCCAGGTAACGAGTTACGTTGTGGCCCCATAAGCTCATTGAGCATTTGGGCCATATAGTCAGTCATTTTGAAGGAACGACTGGTCTGAAATTTAAACAACGAAGTGACTTAAAATCTAAGTCAATAGAAAATCAGCACGCGACGAAAATGTTGTAGTAGAATATGATTATGGCAAAGCATAATTTTGGAATAAACTAGAGCATTGAAAGTGCCATATTTGTGTGATGAACCGTTCGCTTTTAGAACTATGGATAGCTATCTGTAAAAGTTAATACTACATTTAAGGAATTGAAATTCCATGGAGAAAAAGGAAAGTTTGAAGCAAACCACTTAATGGCTTTATACACAACTAGAACCAGCACGCATTCAAGAAAGGAGAACATAGCTTTTAGAACAGGATGCCTGTTCATGAGAGATGTTCCAGAGCGGAAGAAGTTTTATAACATGCACAAAAGCTTAGAGATAAAGCCTCTGGTGTTATGGCGCCATTTGTGGGATACATTCCCGCACTCCCATACAGAGTCGTAGTGGCGGTCTGAATATGTATGCGGCCTATACAATGAGTTGCAGTGGCCAGCCGGTGAACGAGCCAATGCTTTTACCTTCCCTGAAAAGTATGGTGCCAATTAGCCGAGCCCTGAGGACGGAAGGCTTTGTCGGCCCGAGTGAGCATCGATCCGGATTTGAACCCGGACTATGCGTGTACGTGAGAGGGCGCGACTTGCCGAATGATACCTCACGCGCTCATTTGACTCGGATGAGAAATGAAAAATCCTTATGTAAGAATCTGATGCAATTATTCCACAAGGTATCAATACTGCTGGGATGATGGGATAACCATATACATACAATCACAACACGCATCTCAAGGCATAATTTACGTTAGTTATGAGAGCGGATCTCGGTGATAAGGAATTTTCTGTGTTGGAGGAATGATCACTAGATACTAGTTTCTTCGTATGACGTTTATCGAACCTCAAGCTTTTCGAATATTCACACCCGAATATTTATGTTTTAATCGATCCTACTTCTTAACAGACTTTCTGTGAAGTTTGCCACAACTTCGTTCAACAGCAGAGAACGTATCGGTGTAATTCAAGTAGAGATCAGTACAACTAAAGGGCAAACATTTTGTGCTTCGCGACGGCCCCACGAAAATGACCAGATTATCACATTGTCCTGTGCTTACTTTTTAGTGATGAACTAGTAGGATAATGTGGAGAATCTAAAAAAAAAAAGTTGCCTAATGTCATCTTTTTCCGCCCTGCGGAGTTTTTTCTCTTAAGTTTCTTGAAGCAGAAAAAGGGAGTCGTTAAGGCGAGAACTCAATCATAAGTAACAAGTCACTTAAACGGTCCTGAGCTTTGTAAAGAGAAATTAGTCGCTGATTAGATTGAAAGAGCTCAATCTCATCATAGTAGAGAACCAACGACAAAAACAGAGCAACACTAGAAAGCATGGGATTCCGTTAATCCGTGGTTTGCATGTTAAGTCTTGAGGTGGGAAGGGAAATGCTTATGAGCCGGATGTCAAAGCCAGCTAGTTTCTTAGAACGACTATGAAAATCGAGAACAACAAACAACAACATATAAGAAAGTATTCAGCGCTGACGAGGACGCCTAACAGACAACGAAATGCCCTTCTGCCGTTCGCAACTGTGCTCTTACGTCTGCGTCTCCACCTATATCATTGTCTTGTTCACTTCCTCGCTGCTAACCCATCATGTCTGCCCTTTTCTCTAGCGCACACAACACACCTTATTCGACGCAATTTCTCACAAGAAGTCACAACTCCAGTTCAAGTGGGAACACCGGTAGTAATATGTTTAAATACCTGACTAAAACAGCTAGGCCTTGTAAATTTGTGGTGACTTTAATTTGGAAGTTTATTCGGGGTTCTATGCTTTTTCAGCGCTCTTGGCATGCACTTTCTACCCACAACACTGCTCAGGGCCCTAGGGACAATAGGGCTTCTTCGAATATCCTTTTTTAATTGTGTTCATCACAGGAAGCATTAGGCTCTGAGCACATTTTGCCCTGATATTGGGAAGATGTAGGAGATTTATGATGACAGCTTATCTTTCTTCTCATTTTTGACAGGTACAAAGTGCAAGTACCTTCTGCTCGCATTAGTACACTTTTACAGTAGTCAAGGCCTTGAACGAAGTTTTGAACATCACTGTGGTTAGAATCTTCTAACAATAAAATTCTACGTCATTGATTGGTCTGCAAGAGCAAATTGCGCTGCGGTTTTTTGCTTAAATCATGTTAGTTACGGCAGTCGACTGTTCAAACGAGATTTTTTCAATAATAGCACTGTGTTGAATCAGTTTTTCTCTTCTTTCAGGGTGCTTTATGGTGCAGGGACGGACGTGATGTCGAAAGCAGATCAGCTCATCATTGAACGACGCTTACGACCGATATACGGTACATCCTTGGTTGATCGTTACTTTTTCCCTGTTACTATCCACTTGCTTAGATGCTATCGACGCCGGCAACCCTAAAAAAGCCGTTCAAGAAGCTGACAAGGTTTTGAAAAAGCATCCTGTTACAGTTTGTGCCAAGGTGAGACCGTTTCTTTACTGCGCAGCTTCATTACTCGCACTGTATTGCATAAAAACTAAGCCATCATCCTTGCTACGTTTATTTTAAGAGTTGAGGTCTTGTGCAATAAAAATGGATAAGAAAGTCTTAAAGCTGTTTTGGAAAAGTATGAAGCAGGCGAAATAAGCGTAATGAGGTAATGCTGCCATTGGCACAGTGGATCCTTCGAGAAATCGGGAGAAAGTAGAAGTCTAGAGAACAGTACACCTGATGTCGGCTATTTCCTTTTTTCAGGTTGCGCCTTGCAAATGGAATATTCCAAGGTCATTGTAACATCTGTTTCTTGGATTGGGCTGTTGAAATGTTAGGTCTGCATAGTGATCCGCAAATGCCTCGTAATGTACATGCCACTTGGCTGTCGTCCAGACGAATATCATGAAATTCTTTCGTTTCTATAAATGGGATAGTGATCGGCTTGGGCAACATTTGATCTGATTAGGAGATTAGCTCTCTGTGAGTGATTGGAGCGCCAAGCTTCCACTTTGGAGGGAGTACCTTTATCCAATACGTGTACATAACCGTGAGATGATACTCACGACCAGCACTTTTGAAGTATAAACAGGCTGTTCTTGTTCTTGCGCTAACAGCTAAAACAACATCGATTAACTCTGATTGAGAGTTATTTGACATTAAGCTGATATTTGGGCAATTTTTTTCGAAGCTACAGAAGTACTTATGCAACTACAAAAATGGTTGAAATCTATAGCAATCGGTCACTTTTTCTTCAACACTGCTTTTTTGAGCGTCTTTTTGCTGTGTTCCTTCAAAGTGACAGCCCATCCTTTAGGTACTTAAAGCACTAGCTCTCATACGATCAGATAAACTTGCTGATGGGTTCGAAATCATCAATACGTTAGACGTTCCTGGAGCACAGTTTGATGACGGCACACTGCAAGCGTTCGTTCATTGTTTCAAGGTATGATTTTGCCTAATGACTTCCGTCTTAAGATTTCTTCCCTTTATATTTTTTACACCTTTACAGCTTAAACTATTAATAAAGATTGGAATATGCAAAGACTTTTAGCTTTATTAACTCACATTAGGCAAAAATATTTCGAATCGAAAGCGAAAACCACGTAATTATTTGAAGGAATGTAATGTTAAACAAAGTTACGCGACAAGCTTTGAACAGCACATCTGCTTCCTTTCGAAAATCCGGTTTTGCATTGCAGGCAGCACTTTTGTGGTTATATTTTTACTTATGGGGTTGTAATTGATAATGAACTTAGTCCTAGTCTTTCTTTTTCTATTCTTGATAAGTTGTTGAGATGCTACTGTAATACGAGGGTCCGTTAAAATTAGGATGAGCGTGGCTCATGCTATAAGAAGTGGGTTTTATGATTAGTAATCCTCTTAACGTTCATCTAAAAAGCAGTTGAGTGGCTCAATTGAGCTTGTACAGCTAGGTTTATTCATTCACATAATTTGCATGCCCTCAGCCAGAACAATAGAGATCCACAACCAAGTCAAAACAGTCAATAAAATATATTAGCACGGTCTACGGAAGGCAGTAGTTACAACCACATAAATTTCTTTGTTCTCTTGAGTTGTAGCGAGAGTTCTCTTGAGTATGCATCTTTAGGAGGCTGGATGTCCAGATAGAATAACAACTCTCTATGAGCGTGCAGTTGCAGTATGTCCCACCGAACAAAATCTCACTCATCTTTTCATGGCTCATGTTAGGAATAGGTAGCTCTTTCATTTGCCCTCGATTGAATTTTTCTTATGATTTGCTTATTTAGATCATATAAAAATCAGCAACTGGTTGCAATGCGTTTGTACAAGGAGTTCGGCAACACCCCTTATTTCTTTTGGGGTGTAATGAGTATAGTTATGCAGGTGCAGCATTGATTTCATGCATTCTTTCTTTTATCATTCTTGATATAATTTTTATTTTTGTGATGTTGTTCAGGCTCATGAAAGTCCTGAAATGGGTGCAAAAATGTTTTACCCTCTCGCCGCAAGAATGGTGGAAAGTCAAGTATCGAAGCATGGCTATAAAGCTGGAGCAGGTGAAATCAGTATTATCTTTGCTTTTCTGTTTTTGTTTCGTTTTTTTATTTATAATTCTGAAGTTTAGTTATATTCGATCAGGTTTACCTTGCTCTCGTTCTTGAGCGGGGTACGATTCCAATAGCTAGACGCTATAGTTTCTGGACGCACTTATCTTATTTGTCTTAGAGTTGACATTTATTTTCGATCATCAGAATAAGGGGCAGCAAAAATCACAGCAGTTAAGTTAGTTTGTAAGTCTATAGAGGGAGATAGCTTAAAAACTGAGTTCAGAGCTTTATCCTTCGTGTTGGGTTCTCTGCGTATAGTCCTCGTGAAGGCATAGGGTGATGACTAACGCAGCTTATAAATTGAGTTTAGGGCTTATTCTTTCGTGTTGGGTTCTCTGCGTATGGTCCTCGTGAAGCCATAGGGTGATGATCAACGCAGCTTAAAAATTGAGTTCAGAGCTTTATCCTTCATGTTGGGTTCTCTGCGTATGGTCCTCTTGAAGGCATGGGGTGATGACTAACGGTCTTTGTTCAATGAGCGCAAGCTGTTGCTCAGTGTTTTCGACTGAGTCTTCGGACTTTGAACAGGGCGAAACGATCGAGGGATGTGCGAAACAGTAATGCTTGTTTTACCGAACAATCTTCTTTACCAAAAGAGTATCATAGTAGAAATCGAAATCTATTGTCAGTTGTAGCACAAAAAATGGTAGAGTCTTCCTTTGTGTCTTGCTATAGCAAATCCATTCATTTTGTGGCGCAGGCATAACTTTTTCTTTCAGAGATTGAACTCCATGCAATGGTTCATGAAGGTATGGGGAAATACTTGGAAGCAGAGAAACTGTTAGGCACTGAAGAATCTAGAGCTCTTCTTTCTACACCTCCACTTTTTCTAATAGCTCGCAGGCTAGAACTTCTCTCACTCGCCAAAGATTACCAGACTGTTATGGATAGGGCTATGGAGGCATTAAGCACGGAGTATGTTACTTCTCAAAAATATAATCTAACTGTACACTGATGCCACTGCTTCACTTCAGCCCTGACGACTGGATTCTGTGGAAAATGTTGTTCGACTCGTCATTCGAATTGCTCAAGGAAGCGAAGAGTGAGGAACAGCAAACAAAGTAAATTATTTCCTTTGATGCATCGCTGAGTTACGGCAGCTAGAAAGTACTGAAAGGTTTTTTTCATCTTCATCTCTGCAAGAGAAAAAAGGGAGAACTCCCGGGGAAATTTCCTTGTACAAATGCTGTTTTCCAAGATTCCGTTAGAGGTGTGGAAGGAAGGATCCGACGCTAGATGTAGTTCATCTCTTGTTATTATTTACATTGCGCCTCGGAGGCTATAACTCCAGTTTAATGAACAGTTAAACCCCTACATATGTTGAAGAACCGGGAAACTGTGAAACGCAGGTTTCATAGTGCAGATATAGTTATTATTCTAGAAAAATGTTAGATATTAAAAATAAAGTAATAAATTAGAAATTAAAATATAAAAATTAATATTATTCTGTTCCGGAGGGCAGAACACAACACAGCCAAATAGACCCCCTTATTGAGATTAAAACATACGTTCCTGCTCCTCATATCGTCATAAGGAGTTTCACCTATTTTCACTCTTGCTTGGTGTGGGGCTCCTCTCGCACTGTAGGTGAAACTGGTATGCACTGCTAGTGGATTCCTGCGGCTCTAGGTCTGCTATCTCTGCACCTTAACATCTACTGACTTTTACTTGCCACTGAGCTTCTCCACAATTTGATATCCTTCTTTTTACCTTGTAATTCTTTTCAATTTCTTATTCGTTTCATTCCTCCATGAATGGGTCGGTCCTTACTGAACGCTATGTCTCTTTGTTCAAAAGTCTAGGATCTAAACCTGTATCTTTGAAGTCCATTTTCTCTTAACATTCTATTTCATCATTTTGAACGCGTTGTCGGAAACAATCAATGCTGATGGAATGTCCACAAGCCGGTTACGCGGACCACATCTTGCCCGACTGGAGCTTTTAGGAAGGTTCCTCCGTGAGGATGAGCCTATTCGTAGCCTTTCAGAGAAGTTGTTTCTAGGTACGTCTGATTAATATCTTGAGAGCGTCTTTATTGTTGAGATGTGCTTTGTATCCTTATAGGAAGCCCAATAGATCTATTGTTGAACTACGTGCTGAGATTTTATGCGAAGCCCTGTTGTTATAACGACATTGCTGAAGTAAGCTCAAATGTTTTTTACTCCATGAATCGATTTGCTTTTGAGATAGTTGATCTAGTATCTCTGGATGTTGGATGACTCTAACAAAGAAGAGCTTATTGATGGTTTGAAAGAATTCATCGACAGTGTTATCCATCAGAGAGAACAGGCCGGTGAGGATCGAGTGAGTTGCCCTTCCTTTTATATAGAAAGGCGTTTTCTAAGCATTACGGGGGTTTATTTTCTTTATTTGTTTTTTTACTGGTTCAAATGTTGCTGAAACCTTTTCTGATTTGATATTGTCCTTGTGTCTTGTTCGGTAAAATATCTGCAACACAACTTTGGTCGGGAAAAACTTCGAACTTATTTTTAACCACGATAGTAGGTTGTTCATTTTGCCGCTCCAGTTGAATTGAAAAAAATATTTTACGCTTCCCTCTTTTGTGGAATTATAATATTTTCCCCTTTCCGTGAATGGTTCTTCGGAAAAGGGAGAAAGTACTACTACATAGAAAATACTGAGATTGGAGGATAGAATGGGACGTCTAGTCATTTGTTTCACGTGCCGTTGGACTGCACTGTGTCCTTGTAGTATATCCATTTCATGAAAGGTATTTTTAGGACGCCAACTGCTGGGCTGTTATTATGAATGAACGCCTTCGGCGAACTATAGGAACTATGGAAAAAATGCCAAGAAAGGATAGGAGAAGACATGTCCAACTCATCGTCCAAGGAATTCTGCAGGTTTCTATCTCAGCCTTCTTCTAGTGTCACTGCATACGAAGGAGGTGAAATTGTCTCCTTCAGTGGCCTTTTAGATTCACTTCAAAAAAGTTTGTCACTAGGTATTCGTTCATGTCTTAAGACCCCGTACCGTATATCCTCCACCTGCATTGTATTGGTAGACTAGATCATCTTCGCAACATAATGACCAATGTGTATACTTTGGCTCAATTTGTATCCTATTCACCTTTAGTCTAGGATAAGGGATCAAGTGGGGGGACCAGTAATTCAGATATGATGATCATGACTGCAACTTTCACGACTTTGGTTATGCCATGCACGAGGGTTCAAGGCGGTGTAATTGCTCCTCTTTGAACCCTCGTGTAATAGAATATGCTACAAGTATTGTAGGGTGGAATTACAATACTTGTAGCATATTCTCAGTAGAAGAGGGTAACACGAAAGGACGTGCCACCAGTTAGCGATCATCTGTGTGAAGGCACAGGTTGTACATTAGTGTATTCCACACAGTACGACCTCCCGAACTTCCTTCGGTGGGGGCAAGTTGCAAAGATGCCATTACTAATATTTAAATCGGATGTGCATGCATTGCAAAAGGAACTGGTCAGGCCTCAGGCTCGAGAACTTACGTTTTTTAGTGAGACTGTGAGTGAATCCTTTAGCATATTCTAGAGCACACTTACACTTTAGATTAGGTGGAAAGGTACGCTCATGTTTTAAAATGTTCGTAGAACACTTGCTTGTCAAATATTCATCTCAGCTTTCTGATAATCACATTTAAGCACTTTACAGCCTAATCGGGAACAGTTGGCTGGAACGGCACTAGCCCAGCTGGCGGCAGCTATTCTCTGGAGTGAGTGGAAAAACCACGGTAAGCTTTGGTTATATATCAGGTTTCAAAGTACTCCTCTTGTGTGGCCGAAAAACTTGATCCGATTTGTGAGGTTGCGTTTGGCTGAGGCGGATAGCATTCAGACTTCGTTGACTGTAACATTGTTTCTCCCTTTTGTACTAAATACTGGTGCATTCAGATGATTGGCAGTCGTTCTACGAAATGATCCTGCTACTTGAATGGACATCAAATGAGTATCCAACGGATCCTTTCTGCAAACTAGTGCTTTGTCGTGCATATTCTCATATAGGTATGTAGAGACGTCTTCATCTTGCTTGCATTGGGCTTGGGTTTCAGTTTAATAATCTCACTGAACTATTCTAGGATGTATGTATCGTTTGGTAGCGCTGACTCGTTCCCTTGATATTAAGTCTGTACAACGAGACACGCTAGGCTACATTATGTTTCCATTGCCTGAACTTTGTGGAAGGTATGGTGTCATGCTTCAATAATAGATTTAACTATACACTTGTCTCCACGAAATGAGTTTTTGAAGTACTCAATGTAAAATTCAAAAAGGATTTTTGGTCCTTTCTCTATTTTACAAGCAGGGTCCTAACCTTAGTAGTCAAATTACCTGCATTTAGGTTTAACGTGGGAATTGTTCATTACACCGAGATGGTCGACGTCTATGAACAGGCCGAAAAAGAGGTGCGAGCGTTTATTTTGTTTGCTATTAGTTATGTATATGTATAGTTATATTTTGCTATTATATTTATTTGTTTGTTATTTTCTATTTTGTTATTTCTTCGTTGGTTATTGCACATCACCAGCGAATGCCATCGATGTTCTCACTTCTCCACATGCGTTATATCTCTTTTGCTGCATTTTATACGTGTTGGAGGGATCTGCCATTATTCATGTTCAGCGGCCTCTTTTTTTGTAAGCTTTCCTACCAATAGGTTGGCGACCCTTTCGTAGAAGAGCGACTCTGATTCCGGGATCGAACTGCTTAGTGCGTGATGAAGATTTACGCTGGAACATACGATATCCACTTTGACGTTATTCTTAGAGCGCCGTAAAAAGACGAGAGACAGAGATCTTCTCACGATACAATGGGAAAGGCTTTTTCACTTTCACGGCTAGCGAAAAGAAGAGTTTAAAGAGGAGCTGGCTCAGTTTCATATAGAACTTCGTTTCACTATTAGGGAGAGCCACTTACGAAGGAACATTCGGTGTGGATTGTTTCGCCACAGATTTGGCATGGGGGCCAGGGTTCCGATAGTCTTACAACATGGAGTTCTAGTTGTAATAGAGACTGCTCTTCTACATTTGTTTCCTTTCTCTTCCACTGAAATTCTATGGCAGCTATAACATTGGAGGTGTAGACATGCCCTGTAGGCAGTTTCTGTGGTCAGTCATGTGAAACAGTGATTCCTGTTAGTAAAGTGCAGCAATTAGAAGCCGAACGCAGAAAGCATAGTTTTTTACGCGGCGAGGGCTGAGAAAGAATGTTGCAAAGTGCCTCATCCTATTCAAACCACACTCATCCTCATTCTCTTTTGGTTTCTCTTCATACCCCTCTGAATTTCCCGCCCCTCAATCACAAACCCCACGTGCAACCAAGTCTCTTGTTCGCTGTTTGTTTGCTTGCTTGAGCTTCGCTTGCATTTTTTTCAACCTACCCGATGTGAAGAGCATTTTTCTCAGAAAATGCAACTGTTTTCACCACGGTCTTCACTATTGTAGAGGAAGTACATTAATCTGCTTGCAGTAGCGATCACTTCGATTGCACATTTGCATTTTATATTTTTACGGATTCATATAACTGGATACAGTTTAGATCAGTGAAGCCTTGATTGGAGCTTATCGAAACGGTGCCTTTATACAAGTTCCTAATCTCATTGCCCTTGCGAATAAAATGAGGAAGTCAGCTCTGGTAAGAATTTGTCAGAATCCGTCCGAAGGTCTTGTCGGTTATTTCGTGCTCAGTAGTTAGAACAGTTTTCAGTCTGTCGCATCTAATGAACTGCATCGCTATTTATCAGCTCTTTTCGCTATCGATAACGTGGATGAGGCTGTCAGAACGCTGCACGGCAGTGACGACACAATTGGTAAGTTTTTTTTNTTTTTTTTCTGGTGAAATCGCTATATTTGGGATTAGAATGGTGCGAAATTTCCCCAAAAAATGGGAGTAGGATCACATAGTCGAGGCTCTCGTGATCTGATTTTAGAATGAACGAAGAAGATGATCCTTCTTTGCGCTCCTCCTTTTGAAAAACATCATTGCTTTCCAGAATGGGATTCATTGTGTGATAATCGAGATCTCACCGTCATACCGTCCTTTGAGAAGGACTTCGAGCAAGAGATAGAAAGTTTACGGGCTAGCACACAGAAAGAGTTTGTGAGTCGTTTCTTTCTGAGGGAGCTCCAGTTCATCCACGCCGTGTGTACCCATTACAGATCGATTTCACTCGTCTCAGACACTATATCTCCCAGGCAATCGGTTCTGCTGGTGGAGCGAAAGGCGCGGGACCGGAGGAATTGGGTGCTGATTTGACTCTTCTTCGTGCTCACCTTGAGCAGTGCCGGAACAACTATACCACCGATTTCCCTTATGTTAGTTCAGTGCTTTACACTTTCCGTTTATCTTTATTTCTCTATTTCCTCGGCTCGTCACAATTGTGTGTCTTGATATTATTCTTCTTTTGGAAGAAGCTAGAATATCAAATTCCATTTCTAGAGCCGTGTTATGCAGTCTCCCAGTGCAGTATATTTGTCTCGTTGGGTGCACGGAGGCTTCGTCGATCCAATTGTGTGCCTTCTACAGTCTGCTCTAGACGTGAGTGTTCGTCTATCCAGTAGAGAGCTTGTGCGACCGAAATTGGGAGTGGTTTCTTCAGGCTTCGGCCTTTTTTTTCTTAAAGTTCGGTGTTACTTGGAGTTTCATTTGTACCGAGTCAAACCTAGGAAAAGAGATGTAGAGAACGTAATAGGTTAGGAGCCATCACGGTGAAAAAAATTTCTTTTGATTGAGGCGTTCGTTGCGCGCGTCCGTCGAAAGTAGGTCACCCGCCCACTTCGCGCGCGGCGTAGCCCACTGAGGTCTCGAGATGCCATTACAGTACCACCACTTGTCAGTGGAGCGAATGATTTGCATTTGTCCGTGTTATCTTCTCTTTGAGTTGATTGCCGTGGACCGAGCGCGATTCGTATGCTCCACTGACAACTGCGACATTTGTCAAAGATCGCTGACACACCGCTTGCAACGGCTGCGGCGTGACCTAGTTTCGACGGACGCGCGCAACGAAGCGCACCCGAGCTATACCATGATACTACTCATATAGTAGCCGAGTAGAATAGGTACCGATTCTATCCGCATCATACAAAAACTACTACTCGAACGTTTTCATACACACTGATTGCCATTATGGCAAGTATAGTATTTTTGACAGAACCTCCGTGAAGTTCATTTCTGGTCCGGTAGGGGTCCTACACTCATGAAACCCATTGCCACCGTGTTTGTAACGTTTTTCTGGTAATTTTTGGGCGCATTATAGGGCTTACATCGTGATTCTTTTTGATTCATATAAAGAAAAGCAGGATAAAATAGGAGCAGAGCAGAGCATAAAATAGCATACGTAGGAAACACGAGTACTTCGAAAAATGTGGAGCCCTAGACTCAAATCTTCTAGAGCGGTACAATAGGATAAGGTTACTTGTATGTTACTGAGCAATGCGAAGCAGATTGTGTGATAGCAGCAAGCAATCACCTACTTTAGGAGTCCTGGACAGATTTTTCAAGATTTTTTTTGATTCTTTGGCGGGCTACTGTTCACCCTTCATTCATTTCACGCATTTGGCGTTCTCACCGTACTAGGTTGTAATAATCACAACTTTCCAGATAGCAACAGCGAAGAAAGTTGGTGAAAACATCACTGTTTCGATGCTTCCTGATGCAGCTGAGCTGAAAAAGAGCTTATCAGGTATGAAAATGCGAGAAGTTGTGTGAGAAGATTGCCGACCCATCAATGTCCAATTATACCTTGAAAATAGCCTCTTTGCATAGGCTCTATGTACTCCTCTACTGCCCTCTACTTCTCCTCCTCGCTGAGGGTCCCTTACTTCTCCGGCAGCATTCTCGTAAGCATTTGACTGAGGTAGACATGCCTCAGCTGAGCAGAAGGGGTGTGGTGCGATTCACGCGTCAATGTGATGAGGTCATCGTACAAAATGCGCTAAAACATCATGCCTACCACCATAATGGAAGAAATAAGAAATTATAAGTAGAATAAGTAAAGAAATGACCAACTATGAAAGTTAACAGAAGGATTGCGTTTACTAGTATCAAAAAATTTGAAGTTATTCTTATTTTGAATGTTTGACAAGAAATCGTTGACCTATGAGGTGAATTCTCAATCTCCATGGGGCTCTTCTGCCATAGTAAAGAAATTTGCACTAATTCATGGTGAAGCCGTGGACTACTGCAAATTTATTTGGTCCATCTCAACAGAAAGGTACTGAAACGATGCTGCGTGGGCGAAGAGCTCTAATGGGGTCACGCGTAAATCGCGCGCCCCCCGCTACCCACAGTCTCATTGAACCAGCGTCCCCCGTGAAGTAAGCTTTCGAGAGAGTTTCGAAGGTTCCAGAGAATTCGGTGTGTACTAGTGGGAGTGGTGGGGTCGGTGCCATGTAATTAAAGAGGTTTTTTATGAGCAAAAATAAATGCAGCAAATTATCCAAAAACTTAATTAATTTAAGGATATATACTGTAGGCCTTCCTGATTGGCAGAATACTTGAGTATGTTTGGATTGCCCATAATAATGTGGAAGCAATGCTTCCATTTCAGTTTATACTCTTGTGATGGTATTGTTATGATGTGATAGGACAACAGAAAAAAAGGTTTACTGGTTTTTCAGCTATACTGCCGCCATTCGAAAAGAAGACGACTCCTTTCTTCGTCCAAGATGATATCATCACTTGTTCGAGGATGTTACAAACGTTAGCTGCATGTCAGCTATTAGTTAGGTTATTGGAAAGGCATGATTGCAGTAGGCAGCCGGATGGAACGCAGAAGAAGGGTAAATCTGCCAATCAGCCTAAGGTGGGACCTCATTCGAGTTTGTGTTTTCAATTCACACCATCAATTTTTTTTTNNNTTTTTTTTTCAGAGCGAATTTCTTGCTCATTGCGAAGCACTGCGAGCCGTTATACGCGATTGTGCTTCACAGTTAAAGTCTTTCCTGAATGAGGTAGAAAAGATGCTCAAGGATAACACCTTCAGTTTGGTACCCAAGGTCGGAACCGACTGGAGCGAAGTATGTGGTTCTTTTACTGATTCTTATTCTTTCAAAATGTGACATTAATAGAAAAGTTCTTTCCTAGCAGTCCGAAGAGATTGTACAGGGAATGACTGCGATCCTTACGTTAATTTTCTATATTATCGATCAGTGCTAGTTGAAAATAGTAGTCGGGTTCTGAAAAACAATAATTGTGAAAGACACATTAAGCTCATGCTTTGATATATAAAGGCAATCCAATGCGCAAGTCTATCAGCCTTTGAAGGCACAGTTCATGATGTTTTTGAGGTATCTAGTTAGAGACGAATAATGGAGGTAGTAACCAAAAAAAAGTGCAAAAGTGGCGAAGAAAAGCGGAAATCGGTCAATTTGTAGAAATATAGGTATATATAGGGTATATATATGAAAAAGATAAAATTGAGCGTTGTACAAAGGTGTGACAATTGAAGTTATATAGAAGGGGTATTCGGACCAGCTGTTTTCAAATGTGCGCGTCATTGCATACAGCTGGCTGCAGTAAGCTGCTTGCGTGCAAAGTGTGTGCCCCGGTGGGAATGGTAAAACCTATACAGTTTTTTCAACTCAAGAACTCGTTCGCCCAGGATGTGGGCATCGGCTAAGCCGACTTTGAGACCCTTTCTACGCCCTATCTTGATCGCTTTCCGACCCGATAGCGTCCCTCAGGCTCTCCGTGAGGGTCATAGGTTCATCCATAATAGAAATCTCAGATTGCCGTGAACTACGCCTTTATGGTTGCTGAATTGACCACATTCGTGGTCACGGTGGGATGAGAAGCCCGACTGAGCAATTTGTAACTGCCATACATTTGTCCACGTTGTTCAAAATCTAGTCAACTCTTATCTCAAATCCCTTTAAATTTCCCGAGCTTCTACCGATAGAATTCTACTTGTAAAGATTAAAGTGGTTCACAACACATTTCAGGAGCTATTCGAGATGTTTGCCTCACAAAATATGGTCGTATGTGATCGGGTGTATAAGTCATATTTCAATTCATGTGCCGATATTCGTTATTTCTTGGAACACACCATTAATTAGGTAATGTTTATGTGCTTTATTTTTACAATGATAGCATATGATAGCATTCGTAATAACTGTCAGGCGCTCAGGAAAGTGCGCGACAATTGGATACTATTGATGGTTTATCGAAAGAATGTAATACAATTCCTCAACCCTCCAACTACAACCTCTACCAACTGTGATTTCGGTAGATAGTGGGACGTTCTGCACTTTTTTTGAGTGAAAATTGCTCAAGGGGATCAACTAAGCGGTGCTTTATTTAGGCCCTCTTGAGTTCAGAGAATAAGACCTATCAGATTGATGCAAACGCCATGAGACGCTGAGATGCATAAATTTTGTATTATTTCACTGATCAATTCAAAAAAAATCATCACCACCTTTTCTTGATAAGAAATCTTAAGGCACCTTCATCGGTAATAATCAGGAGAAATCCAACCACGTTCTTGTTAGCCGCACTATTGGTCTCTATGAAGTGAGGCCTAACACTTTTATGGTGGGAAGCCCTTCTCAGTCCTCCTTTTGCGATATGAACGGTTTTCCGGAGCTGGGTGCTGCAGATGGTAACTGTGTATCTTGCCTTGACCACCATTTTCTCTGAGCAGCGGATCGTGACAAAATTTACAAAAGAAGCGCTCGCGGCCTGTTCGAATATTACTGCTGGTAACTCTGAGATTCTTCAGAACTGAATGATCCGAGGCCGACAAAGGTTCTTATAGAGAAGCGATAATATCGGTAAAATTGTGTCTCGGGACTTTCGCACCAATTTCGCACCGACTACATACGCTGCATTTTTTTCATAGT